TGTTCCACATTGTAGCCTGGGAATCAGCGGTGGGTCCTGGGGGTCCCATCCAGTTGAAAGCCACTCTATTAGGTAAAAATGCAGACAAAACAGTGTATATTGTGATAAATTCACACTAAAATGCTTGTGGGTTTGTTTGTTTTTAGAAAAATCCACAGAAGAGCAGCATACAGGTCAGTTTTCTTGTGAGGAGTAAATACTGGAGATTTACACATTTTTTTAAAATGATAATAAACATATTTTTAAAAGCATACATAGGACCACCTAAGAAGAGCCCTGGTGGTGAATTGAGCCAAAGGCCCATCTATGCCGTCATCCTGTTCTCATAGATGATGATATTATTATTATTATTATTATTATTATTATTATTATTATTATTATTATTATTATTCCATTTATGAATCACTTCCAATAAAATATCTTGAAGTGTTTTTCACACTAAAAACACCAATAATAAAACAAAAACTATTTCATATGTGAAAACCATCCCAAATCCATGACAGATACAGACTAGGATAAAGTTCTCCACTTAAAAGGCTTGTTGGGAAAGGAAGGTCTTTGACAGGTGCCAAAAAGACAGTAGCGATGACACCTGTCTGATATGTAACAGCAGAGGAACCAGACGCCTATGAAAAGACTGCAAGCAGGACCTGAGTGCAATGGAGCTCTGTGCACTTGCAGTTTCCCAGCTACTGGCATTCTGAGGCATCCTAGCATCTGGTTGGCCGCTATGAGAACAGAATGGGAGACTAAATGGGCTTTTCCACCTGAACCAGGCTACACAATAAATGTGTGAGAGAGGGAGATGGGTGTGCTATTTTTCATACCTAAACATCAGATTCAAATCCTTGGGCCATGCAGATGTTCTGCAGTAACACCTGGACAAAGCCTTTTTCTCCCCTCTCTTCTTCAATTTCCTAATGGTTCGCAAAGCACTACTTTCTTCTTCATGTTTTTATTTTTTATTTAATGCCTTGCCAAAAGGTTAAAAGACATGTGCTACGTTCCACAGCTTCAGGTTTGTTTCAAAGCCTGTCAAGGGACTCAGAAACTGCAATGTCACATTCTCCAGATGTTGTTTGTTACAAATAAATCTACACCTTCTGGTTGTAGCTGCTGCAGCAGGGTAAAACCAAAAGAGAGGCCAGGAAAACCTAAAATACTGAAATAGAAGCTTCTGATGTCAAGTGAAACAATGGCTGCCTTTTGTAAAGCTTGATTGCTTGCTAATGGCACCTGATGTTAGGCTGCTGGGAGGTTTTGTGACAAAAAATAGCCAGCTCAAGAGGCTTAGTCAATGGCTTTTGAGCGCTGGAAGATGTTTGCTTTAATTAACAGTGATGGCTACCAGCTACCAGCAGTGGTGGTTGGGACTGGTAGGGCAGAAGGCCAGGAGACCAAACTCTTTTTTAAAAATACTCTTTAAAAAACAACAACTGGGTTTTTAAAAAACCCTTTTTAATTGTTTGTTTAATTGTATATTTTAATTAAGGATGCTTTCATGGTACTGTGCATTTTGATGATGAATTGATTCTACGGTTGTAAAGCACTTAGAAGCTATTTTAGCACATAAGCAGCATATAAATTAATAATAAATGGGTGAAATTCAATGTCATGCTCAAATGATTGTTCCTTCAGCACAAGTATTTCTGCTTCCCACACTAAATGATTTTTCCTCTCCTCGCCCCCCACCATGCACTGTTTCTCGGGGCTCTCCTGACCCTCCAGAGCAGATCTGGGGGGGGGGGGGCAGGAGTTAAGCACCATTGCACTAACAGGACACATTGTGCTGGCTCCCTCTATTCCAACTATTCAGTTGAATCTGGCCCCAATATTTATTACTACTACTACCTTCTTCTTTGGTGATCACTCGTAGCTAAGTAAGATTGTCTTCCATGTGTCTGCGGAGGCCAATCTTGGATCCACACATCCTTCCACAGTGGGGACATGGGTTTCCAGGCAGGAGTTGATCACAGTGAGGGCTTGCCAAACGTGCCTTCCTCTTAGCTCATTTCTCCCTTTTGGTCCTGAGTTAGAGCATCTTCAAAGTCCATGGCACCTTTGGTAAAGTCTGTCCTCCAGTTGGAGCGCTCGCAGGCCAGTGTTGCCCAATTGTTGGTGTTTATACTACATTTTTTTTAGATTTGCCGAGAGAGAGTCTTTAAACCTCTTTTGTTGACCACCAACATTACGCTTTCCATTTTAAAGTTTGGAATAGAGTAGTTGCTTTGGAAGACAATAATCGGGCATTCAAACAACATGACCAGTCCACCAAAGTTAGCCGGTGTCCAGGATGGAAACATCTGTATTATTAATGGTAGTTGTAGTCCAGTCCTGGACTGGATTGGACTACTGCTACCAATAATAATAATACAGATGTTTCCATCCTGGACATCAGCTAACTTTGGTTGCCTCCAGATTCTCAGTACTTTGTGTGAGGGATTCAAAAGACATACTGAAACTTTAGGTTTGCCCCCAAAAAGTGGATTAAAGTGTTCTAAACACCAAGCAACAAATTATTATTATTATTATTATTATTATTATTATTATTATTATTATTATCATTTTAAAAGAACAATTTGTGGTAAGGAAGCTAATGGGGGAAATGTACTGAAAAGTGTTTATGGGAAGGCCTGTGAACACTGCACAAGCAAATCAGGATGAATGCCAATTATCTATGACCTTCCCCACAAACAGATCAGATCAAAGACTCAATAAAGACCAGCAATTGTACAGGCCACTCCCCCATTTACACAGGGATTATGTTCCAAGGCACCACGTGTTTAAGTGAAATTGTGTATACAATGGTACTCAATGGTTTTCAAACGTAATCCATTCCGGAAGACCATTCGAGTTCCGAAGCGTTCGAAAACTGAAGTGTTTACTTCCAGAAGCATTTACTTCCGGAAAACACAATATGGAAGCCGCACAGCATGTTTGACTTCCGAAAAGCATTCGAAAACCGAAGCAGTTACTTCTGGGTTTTCGGTGATCGAAAACTGAAATGTGCAACTTCCAAGACATTCGAAAACCGAGGTACCGCTGTATTTGAAACACCATTTTAAAAGCCTGCAAACAACCTGTTCTGCCCCTGCCCCGTACCGTTTTTTGTGACTTTTGGGGTTCAGAGTGATGCATGTGGTCACAGTCACACACATATCGGACGGACCTAAAACGGTCGCTGCCTATATATTCTCCATGTAAGCTTTGTGCAAGCAAATCATCATGATGCATGCTCAATGAATAAGTCATTTTGAGGAGCAGTTTATCACTTAGTTCATGATGGACCACCAGGAAGTCTTGATATCCTGGTTACTGCTTTATTACTTTCCCTTTGTAAAATGTAACAAGAAACCCTAGCATATTTGCATCTGAAAGGAGCAATCTGAAGAACCCAAAGGGGTAGCAGCGGCTCAGAAAATTAGGCCTTGATAGGCTCACTCCTATGTTTTCTGGCACATCTACCACAACTTACCTGAGCTGAGGGGAGTGAGGAGAGGGGGGAGAACAATTTGCTTCCAGCTTCCTTAAGCCATGAATATTTCATACGACCCAGGTAAATCCCAGCAGTGGCCGCCTCCACATGTGTTCTGAGCACACATCGCATGAATGAAACCTGTATATTAATTATTAGGATGCAGCCCTCAGAAACAAATGGAATCAGAGGTTGCCATGGAAGCGCTGGCAGGGACAATATCGCCTCATTTGTAAAAATGCTTGAAATGTTCCAAGTACAAATTACTGCTCTTTATAATAAATGATATTATGCGCTAACAAAAAGTCCTCATCAGCTAGGGAGCAAAGGAAGGAGCTCAAAAGGGTAGGAACCAAGGAAGGTGGGGGCTGTTACAGTGAACCACATAGTAGTGAAGTTGACCTATAGGAAAAAAGAAACCCAGTGCTCTTCCACAGTTTCATAGAATCATAAAATTGTAGAGTTGAAAGCATAGCTGTCAACTTTCAGATTTGAAAATAAGGGATCAGCAGCCTTACCTGTCCCGGGGAGAGTCTACGGGATATCTAACAATCTGGGATAGCAGCGGGAAACGGCGCTGGAATAAGGGAATTTCCCGCAAAAAAGGGAAGGTTAACAGCTATGGTTGAAAGGGACCCAGAGGGTCATCTAGTCTTTGCCAGGTATTTGCTGAAGGTCCTCCACCAGCACCTCATTTTTTGCTGGTTATCAGAGATACTGAGAGCATTTTTCATCTATTTAAGGTCAGGCCGAACTCTAGGTGGACTAGGGTCTAGTCCAGTGGAGGATGGTCCCTTAGGACAAATGAGGCACTGCCCCACCAACTTCAGTCCAGCCTCAGCTAGCCTGCCCTTGCCTGCCTTCTTTCTTATAACCCGTCCTCCTCCTCCTCCTTAGTGTCAGTGTCCTAGTAGAACTCAATGGAAAGAAGGATGGGGACAAACCTAGAATTAGTTGTCTTTCCCTGCTACTGGCTCTGACTTCTGTGGGAATGTTCAGGGAGGCAGGAGAGGATATATTGTTTAATTATATCCTTCCCAACTTATGTTAGCAAGTTCTACAATTTAGTAGAGTAACATTCCCCTTTTTAAATTTGCACAGCGGATAACGTCTTTGCCAGGCTTGCATAAGCCTCTAAAATAAGTTTCCTGGTAGTCCCCTTTATTCCCTCTTAAAAGAATAGACACGACACAGTCTTGTATAAAAGTATATAAAATAGTTTACTCACATTCTGTTCACAGAAGGATCCCAGAGAGCAGACTTAGGTTACAGAATATATACACATGGAATCTATCCCATAAGGAGATAGTTCCTTTGAGCATCTCAGGCTAAGGAGATGTTGTTTCTTTGAGGAATGGAGTCGGAAAGAGAGAGATGGCTGCCTCCCCTGTGCTATTTTGTTACCTGCACAGGTGAGATCACACCCACCTCTGGTCACATGTAGAGGAAGTTTGTCCCAGCCCAGGAGGAAAAAGTAAGTTCCGACTGGCTGGTCTAGACATCCCCTTTTTATGTCCACTCTAGGAATGTTTCACACCCCACAACTCCTCCTTGCCTTCCGTGCTACCAGCCGCAATGGGCACAAGCCACCATTTGTCCAACCTGAAAGGGAAACCAAGATTGGTTCAGAATGTGGGCCAGCGTAAAGAGCGAAGAGCCTTCCTACACCTGAATCCAGAGTGGTAAAGTAAGCACTTTCTTCCCTTCATTATCATTCTCTCCCCATCTTACTCTAAGTGCTAAACTATCAGCCCAAAGAACAGCATTTGCAGTTATTAACAGCAAGCCGTCAATCTCTTTTGCCACTGCAGCTGGCGCTAACCTCAATCCGTCTCTTTTGCACTCCCGCTGTCTTGCATCCTCACCTCCTGAGCGATCAGCATGGGGTGCTAATTTAAAGAGACATGAGGCAGATTGACATTGGCTAACACCAAAACAAAAAACAGGAGGAGGGAACAACTCTACGGACAGTCATTTTTCTTCCTCATTTTAAGATATTTTATAAATGTACGAATCAGTTTTTCTATACATTAAACAAGCAAAAACAATTGCAGCACCAAAAGCACTTTTTAAAAAAACCCTATAACAATAGTTAACTGTTTAGAGAGCATTCATTTTGATTGGTTTGTGGGGAGGTTATGTGATGTTGCATAACCCTGAAGAGCTACTGTCAGGAGGTAAATGCTAAGCCAAAGGTCTGATTTCATACAACAGGGATGGGGAACCTAAATCTCTCCAGACAGGGTTCGCCGGCCCACCCATAATAATAATAATAATATAATAATAATAATAATAATAATAAATAATTTATCTATACCCCGCCCTCCCCGGCCAGAGCCGGGCTCAGGGCGGCTAACACCAATAAAATTACAATAAAAAAGTAATAGGGGAGGGGAAAAATAAATAACTTAAAATACAGGTTAAAAATACAATTTAAAATGCAGCCTCATTTTAATAATAGCCCATAGATCAAAACCATAAGGGGAGGGAAACCTAAGGGTCAGGCTGAGTCCAAACCAAAGGCCAGGTGGAACAGCTCTGTCTTGCAGGCCTTGCAGAAAGATGTCAAGTCCCGCAGGGCCCTAGCCTCTTGTGACAGAGCGTTCCACCAAGTCAGGGCCAGTACTGAAAAGGCCCTGGCCCTCGTTGAGACCAACCTTGTGACTTGGGACCTCCAAAATATTGTCATTTGTGGACCTTAAGGTCCTCCGCGGGGCATACCAGGAGAGGCGGTCCCGTAGGTACGTGGGTCCTAGGCCGCAGAGGGCTTCAAAGGTCAAAACCAGCACCTTAAGCCTGACCCTGTACTCCACCGGGAGTCAGTGCAGTTGGTAAAGCACTGGATCAATGTGATCCCATGGCAAGGACCCCGTGAGGAGCCTCGCCGCAGCATTCTGCACCCGCTGGAGTTTCTGGGTCAGCTTCAAGGGCAGCCCCGTGTAGAGCGAGTTACAATAATCAAACCTGGAGGTGACCATTGCATGGATCACTGTGGCCAGATCAGGGTGAGAAAGGTACTGAAGCAGCCACCTTGGGTGGTGGAATCCTGTGGGGTGGACACCCTGCCCGCCCCTACTGCTGCTAGAGTTGCACAGCTGCAGCAACTTCTGGGAAGATTTGCAGCAATTGCATGCCACTGGTAAGCAACACTTGAGGCAGGGGGCACCTTCCTGTTTCGCCTCAAGCAGCCACATTTACAGGAAGCACCATGTATTTCCCCCTGAATCCTTGGGCACACACAGCAAGAACCCCTGTAAAAATAATAGCATGCTGGTAACAATAGCTGCAAACTGCTGCAAAGAAAATGCATTAAGCATGGTACTCTTGTGTGATATATTGCAGTAGTTTCCATCCTCTTTGGCAACCCATCGATTTCCTGTCACATGAATGTTGGACCTTAGGGTCTTTGGCAATTGTCAGTTTCATGCATTCTAACTGAAAGAATGCCTATTTTATAACCATTACTTGAGGCATCTAAGCAAAATTTACATAACTCCCCTATTAATGTGAAATTTGTTGCAATATTTATAGTACTTACGGAGCTATTCACAGTTTCAGTTATGGGAACGAAACACCACCAACCGTCTGACGGCCGGATATTCCTGTGTATCGGAGGGGAGCTGTAAAAGTCACTCAGAACAACTCCCTGTATGAATACCTTGTGATGAACTATCACCGCACCTGCCGCCAGCCAGCAGAAAGCAGCTCCCAAGGGTTCAAATGTTAGACTTGAGCCTTTCTGATGTTTGGTGGCAATTTGTAACAGATTCGATTGCAAGCTGTAAGTGGTATTCCTCAAGCTTGTTAAGGATTGAAAGCAATTATCTGGTGTTTACTTACAAGCCTGTGACCCACTTGCACAGGCCTTGTGACCCATTGTGGGTCATGAACCCACAGGCTGGAAAATGCTGATATATTGGGCACCTGACTCTCTGGGGGCAGCTAAGTTGCAAGGCTGCGAAGCAGTGAAAGGAATGGGGCTAGTCCTAAATCATTTCATGTTCTCTTTCTCCATTCACAGCAGGCAAAGCCTCCGGTGACCCAGGATCTCAGCTGTGTAAGACCTGGAAAGGAAGGAGGTCACATAACACAAGTGCAGAACAGATGCTCTGCATGGAGAAAGGTCCCCGATTCAATCCCCAGCATCTTCCTGATGCACCTGGGGAAGGTCCCTGTCTGAAATCCTGGAGAGCAGCTGCCAGACACTGTAAACAACACGGAGTTTGGTGGATCAAGCATCATGGCTTGGTGTCATGGAGTTGTAGCTTGTCAGCATCTTGGGGACACCAGGTTGGGGAATTCTTATCTGCACGGATTGACAGGGGCTCTCCAAGGTTTCAGTGACTTGACCAGCACTACCTGGAGATGCCAGGGATAGAACAGAGGACCTTCTGAATGGAATTTACCACTGAATTACAAGCACCTGCACCTTGTCAGTCAGTCACATGCCTATATAAATGCATCCGCATGAGCAACAAGGCCTTATTTGGAGCACAGCCAGCCGTTCCATATGCTATAGCAGGTGAGATTTATTTTAACTGTTGATAACATATTGAGGAATATATATATATATATATATATATATATATATATATATATGCAGGTTTTGGTGTCCTCGGGTGTCTTCCCGTGTAAAAGTTGGGGTGTCTAGGCGACGTTTCGACGAGGTCTCACTCGTCATCTTCAGGCTGGTGCTTTCGGCTTCTTGTTACTGGAACAGAGCAGGATCTCAGTGTTTGAGTTCCTATAAATACTGTTGAGGGGGTGTGGTGTATAGCCTCCAATGTTCTGGGCAGAGAGGAAGTTCCCAGGTTAGTGTGCCTTTTCTTCTTTTGTTCCTTAATTACTTGAGGGATATCTTGAGTGATTTCTTGAGTGATATCCTGAGTACCACTTAGGTGGGTCATTAGGTGTGGATTAGTTGCTAAAGCCTTCGTGTCTTGACCTCTTGAACTTTGTGAAGAGTTTTTCTGAGAAGATGGCTGTACTGCAATTAGTTGTGCTCTGGCTTGGCTTCGTGTATAGGGGCGAGCTGTGGTTTTGTGTCCTGTGCCAGCCAGATCTGTGTAGGGATTGCAGGGGGGTGCAGCATCCGGAGGTACCACCATGGTTTGGCTACTGGATGGTGTCTGTAATTTATCTGTGGAGAGGGTCTCCACAGATAAATTACAGACACCATCCAGTAGCCAAACCATGGTGGTACCTCCGGATGCTGCACCCCCCTGCAATCCCTACACAGATCTGGCTGGCACAGGACACAAAACCACAGCTCGCCCCTATACACGAAGCCAAGCCAGAGCACAACTAATTGCAGTACAGCCATCTTCTCAGAAAAACTCTTCACAAAGTTCAAGAGGTCAAGACACGAAGGCTTTAGCAACTAATCCACACCTAATGACCCACCTAAGTGGTACTCAGGATATCACTCAAGAAATCACTCAAGATATCCCTCAAGTAATTAAGGAACAAAAGAAGAAAAGGCACACTAATCTGGGAACTTCCTCTCTGCCCAGAACATTGGAGGCTATACACCACACCCCCTCAACAGTATTTATAGGAACTCAAACACTGAGATCCTGCTCTGTTCCAGTAACAAGAAGCCGAAAGCACCAGCCTGAAGATGACGAGTGAGACCTCGTCGAAACGTCGCCTAGACACCCCAACTTTTACACGGGAAGACACCCGAGGACACCAAAACCTGCATTCCTGTACCCGTGAAAATCTACGAAAGCATATATATATATATATATATATTCTAGTGTATCTTTAACAAACATCTACTCAACTTTTAAATTAAAGTAAAAAGGTAAAGATAAAGGACTCCTGGACGGTTAAGTCCAGTCAAAGGTATGGTGAGATATGGTGTTCATCTCGGTTTTAGGCCAAGGGAGCCGGTGTTTGTCCACAGACAGCTTCCAGGTCATGTGGCCAGCATGACTAAACCGCTTCTGGTGCAACGGGACACTGTGACGAGTGCTAGACTAAGGCTGGGGAGTCCGGGATTCAAATGTGTACAGTGCTTGGTGGGTGACCTTGGGCCAGTCACTATCCCCCAGCCTAGCCTACTTTGCAGGGTTGTTGTGAGGATAAAACGGAGGTGGGCGGGGGAGAGAGTTATGAATGCTGCTTGGAGAAAGGCAGGATATAAAAATAGTAAATAAATAAAAAATAGAAGGTATGAAAGAAAAAGAAAGAAAATGAGCACAGATGGCCACAAATTGACAAAGCACACTCCTCTCTGCCTGGCAGCCCAGGGGGCAGCTGACATGAAAGCAGTTGTTCCACAGATACATAGTTTGTCTGATAAATTGACTCGTAGCATCTAACAACAAGATGGGAACCATTTAACCGAACAGCAGGCAATACAGATTTCCTGGTACATTTTTGATGGATCTTTTTTCTTTAAAAAATAATGAGGTTTGTAATAAAAAAAATAAAAATCCAAACAGCTCTTAGTATAATAAAGCTCTCTGGTTCACACCAGGTCCCTTTAAAAAAAGATTTCTTTTCCCCCACTATCAGCATGTTATTTCCTGACCTGCCGGCCAGTGACTGAAATGTAATGTTGCCTCTTCCATTTCCAGCTGGAAGAGGAAGTGGGAAAGCATGTCACTCTTCTAACTTCTTCAGCACTATGCGCTGTTGAAGGGAGAAAAAGATAGCCAGTCTCCAGCTCATGACAGTGAGTGGGAGGTCTCAGAGACTTCCTGGGCTCTGGAGAAAGACCTCAAGGCCCCTGTGTGAACCATGGCTTAGCGCTATGTGTGAACCTGGCTCTCAACATTGCATAGATACCATACCCTTCAACATTTCTCCATTCAAAATAGCTGAATCATATTTAACAACAACAACAACAAATACCCTGCCCATCTGACTAAGTTGTCCCAGCCATTCTCGGCATCTTCCAACATATATAAAGACATAATAAAACATTACAAAACTTCCCTGTACTGTACCGGGCTGCCTTCAGATGTCTTCTAAAGGTTGTATAGTTACTTATCACCTTGGCTCAGTCGGTTGCATAACTCCAACATTCTCTGATGAAAACAGGGGCATCATCCTAAGGAAAAGGGGGCAATTCCAGGATCAAATCAGAAACCGGGATGGCTTCTGTAAACCTGGGACTGTCTCTGGGACTGGCACTTGGCAGGTCTGAGATACATGTTTGAACTGGAAGGACCAGGATTCAAATCCCTGCCAGGCTATGAAGCCAAATTGCCAAACTTAAACCACTGGTTATCTCTCAGCCGAACCAACCATGTAGGGTTGTTGTGAAGCTCTGATGCATACTCATGTGAAACAAATAAGGAATTAAATATTGTTAAGCATCTTTCTCCAGCTACGAGAAGTGGATGAAATTATCGGATTTGGTTTTTCTCTCTTGTTTTTCCGGTCTTCAGTTCAGTTCTCCATGATTTTTTTCCCTTTTCCCCCCCTTTTTAAAGCCCTCATGAAAATCCACCAGCAGTTCTGGCCCTTCTGCCTTAGCTCCTTGCATGTCCCAGCGTGACCACCACATTATGTTTCTGGCTATGGGCCTGAACTTGATAAATCTTTGGCTAGTGGCTGAATGACGGGCAGTCCTGCGAGTGGATAAATGATGGATGCAGACCGTTTGCAGGGAGGGGGAGCACATCATACAGTCCCGCATGCCTGCTCTTCGTCCTCCTTGAGTTTATAAAAAACCCGACGTTGTGTGGGGAATGATCTTAAGGCCTTCAGAAGAGGGAGGCCCGCTGCGAATGGAAGGCATATCGACACAGTTGCATCCCCATAGACATCTTAAGTGCCAGGACATCAAGGAGGATAAACCAAGGGGGAGGGGAGGGCTGCTGCTACAAAGAGATCTCGACCAAGGGAGTCGGTTCCAACGACCAAATGTTTGACAACACACAGCTAACTTCCTCCTCTCATCTTCCAAGCACAGAGCCTCAGAACCGCCTCCAGTGCCTGGAAACATCCGCAAACCTTTCTTATCTGTAAACAAGCTGTGATGGGTACCCCCAGTTGAGCTGAGAGCGCTTGTGGCTTTTTAGTTGAGCAACAAAACAAGTATCAGGAAATGTTAGAAATCCCAACAGGATGCGCAGGGCTGGACTGTGGCGTTGTGGCACTGGAGGCAGACAGTCCAAACAGCATCCATTGCCACATACTAATTAACATGGGCCACAATCCACGGGGAAGGAGTCTTTCATGAGCCCCACTGAAATAAGCAGGAGAGGCAGAAGAGCAGGACATAGGGAAAGAACCTGTGGGTTTCTGGATGCTGTGGGACTTCAGTACCCATTAGTCCACAGCCACAGGTTTAGTTTCAGATTTTAATGCGTACCTAACCAATTTGCACCATCTGAAACAATATGTGAAATGAAACACGGCTATCCTTGGAGATTTGCATGCCTCTGCATTTATTTATTTATTTATCTTTGCAATGCAGTTGTCCAAAGAAAGTGTGTGAAAATGCACATATTGGGAAGAAGGAAGTGAGGAATAAAATGCATCTATTTCAGACAATAAATGCATTATGTTAGGAGAAATTGCTTGCAAACGTGTATATCATTTAAACCTGCATACAAGGATGCAGAAAGTTGCTGTATCCCTTCTTATTTCAATTATGCTAATATCAAAATGCTCCATACCATTTATTACTGTATTTTTATTATTATTATTATTATATATGATATATTTGTTAATTTATATTATATCCCACTTTTATTCCCAGAACCGGGACTCAAGAGGACTCACAATAAATAAAACAAGCATGGATAAAACACAGATACCTAAAAACATATAAAAGGTAAAAGAGTAGTTTAAAAGTAATTAAAATATAATAAAATGAAAATGATATAAAAACAAATCTGTTGAAATGCAGATTTTAAAATAGCAAGTACTATTAAAAGCTCTTTCCTTTAAGAGCAATTATTGTTGTTTTGTCTATTTAGTGATGGTTAGCTCCTGAATTTATATGTGGCTCACAGTGCAGTTATCAGTCAGATTGATAACTACAAATTCTCTCTCTCTCTCTCTCAATAAAACCTGCATATAGAAATGCCTCTTTTATGGGGAAATGCATATAAAATGTATATTTTAGAGGAAAGCATACAAAAATATGCATTTGAGGGGTGAAATGTATGCAAAATGCCTATTTTAGGAGAAAATGCATTCAAAAATGCATATATTAGGAAAAATGCAATTTAAATGCAGATGTTCAATGTGGTTTTAAAAATATCCATGGAAAATAGGTTGGAGCAGACTCCAGGGATGAATGTGTGTGCAAGTGGCACAGAAGGAAAATAGGCTGATCTGTCCGTGCCTCAATTTCACATGCCGGCAAGATGCTTTTTAAATTGCCAGTAACAGATTGCAGGAGAATTATGCTTTTCCTGGCATGTCTTTAACCTAAAGAACAAACACCTACTTGACTTTTAAAATAGTGAAAGACCAGCAGTTTCTGTCTACATGAATATAGCACAAAGCAGATGGAGTAATCTGTTGAGGTGGAAGAGTGGCAGGGAAGACAACCTTGAGCTGGGAAACAAGCCCTGGTGAGAGACTAGGAATATTACAGACTTGACTCTAGTCATAGCCACAGCATACCACTTTAAGAGTCACAGTTCCCACCCCCACCCCACCCAAAGAATCCTGGGAACTGTAGTTTTCCACACACAGAGCTACAATTCCTAGCACCCTTAACAAACTACAGTTTCCAGGATTCTTAGAGGGAATCTGTGTGCTTTAAATACATGGCATGGGTGTGACCCCGTTTCCCTCTGTGAAACAAGTCTACAGTTATATACCTACTTACCGGAGAGTGAGTCCCATGGGACTCTATAGGACTTACTTTTGAGTAGACATGTTCAGGAATGTAGTGCAAGCCAGCAGGCAACGTTTTAATGGCGTGGAGCTGCTCAACATGATGGTGATGGTGATAATATTTATATGCTTCCCATCTGACTGGGTTGCCCCAGCTGCTCTGGGTGGCTCCCGGCAAAATATTAAAAACACAATAAAACCTCAGACATAAAAAGCTTCCCTCTACAGGGCTGCCTTCAAATGTCTTCTAAAAATCATGTACCGTAGTTGCCTATGTGTTTGAAATCTGGTGAGAGGGCATTTCACAGGGTGGGCACCACTACTGAGAAGGCCATAAATCAGCTACTAGCTGCCCTACTTTACAGATGACCGCCCTCCATTTTGAAAAGCTGTGAGAGGACAGCCCTCCATTTGAAGGGCTGGCCAGTCCTCAAGAGATTCAGAGGGTGGCAACACGAGAACGGGCTTTCACTGTAGTGGCTCCCTGTCCTTGGAATCTCTTCCCAGGGAAGTTCGCCTGGCGCCTTCATTATACACCTTTAGGTGCCAGGCAAAAACGTTCCTTTTTAACCAGGCCTTTGATTGACCTGATCAACATCCCATACCCTTTTAAAATGTGGCTCTTTTTTTGTGGGGGGTGGGTATTATTGGGTTGTTGCTTTTATTTTTATTTTATATACTGTGATCTTTTTATGTGAACTGCCATGTGACCTCCGGGTATAGGGCGGTATATAAATTCAATCAATCAGTAAGATAAAGAACCATAAGAAAGGAGAGCAGGCTCAGACATTTCTTGGGCCCCTGTTTTCACCTCCCCCATCCTGCTAGGACCCTTCCTCAGACTGTCCAGCTCCACCTCCTTTATCTCCTCCCAATTCTCCTCAGGATCTGCCCATCCACTTCATGACATTCCCATGGAGTTCACGATGCCATGTTCCGAAGAAAATGAGCTTCCTGTGGTGGCTGAGTGGTAGAACGCATGCACAACCCGCAAATGGTCCCAGCTCCAATCCCCAGCATCTCCAAGTAGAGCTAAGAAGGACCTCTGCCTCAAACCCTGGAGACCGGCTGCCTGTCAGTGTGGGCAACAGTGACCTAGATAGGCCTCAGTAGCTAGGGTTTTGAACAGTTGTTGAGTTTTTTTTGGGGGGGGAGTTTTTTTTTAGTTTTGCCTTAAGAAAAATCACCCAAAATGACACTGCCAACGTGGGTTGCCATACGTCTGGATTTTCATGGACATGTTAGTGATTTCTGACCAGACACTGCTTCATTCTGCAGTATTCCAGATATGTCTGGGAAATTCCAGACATATGGCCACCCTATCAATAGCATCGCTTTGTGTAAGACAGCTTCCTATGTCCCAGGGTCACAACGCTGGCAGTGAATAGAAGGCACTTTGCTTGGGGCCCACTCAGACCTGAAGCTGCTCCTTCTTGCTTAGCTGGGGAAATTGGTAACCGAGAACGGCTTGCAGCGGGAGTGAGGCAGCGGAGGTGCTCCTCTTAACGAAGGTTAGATGCAGAGTACCAATTAGGTAATTGATGCCTGTGAATTGTTCACTGCAAAGAGCTCCAAGACAGGGGTTAATGCACTGGGTGAGCACGAGCACTTTATCCGATCCTGCTTCACACCTCGCAGGGCACTTAGAAACCACCCGTTGTCTCAGACCCCTAAATCTGTCTTCCGGAGCCTGATCAGCACTTCTGATGGAGGGCGGGGAAAGAGGAAGGCTAAAGATTCAGGCTGTGAACACTCCGTACATTTAAAGCACATTGAAAGAACTGTAGTTTGCTAAGGGTGGTGGCCTCAGTCCAGACACAAGGATGTAGTCTGCTATGCCAACTTCAGCCAGCCAGTGAGCAGGGCATAGATTCAGGGGGAAAAGAGTCTCCCTTTGAGTCCTGGGGAGTCTTGGAGCAGCAGGGTCCCATGTATGGAACTTGGTTCTGATCCAGGAGCTAGCAAGCTGTTAATGTGTTATAAGAGTGCTTGACATTTACAGGCAAGTGGCTTCATGATGCTCTGCTTCCCTGCCTGGACTGCTCCATGGGGGCAAGACCTAGCGGAGATGAGTTGCTGTGTTCATTAGACCTGACACTCCTGTGCAGAACATGATTTTGCTAATAAAGACTCCACTCCAACTTGCATGGTATGACTTACTGCTGGCCCGCTCCTGACAGATTTGTTAGCAGGAAGGTTAAAGGTAAAAGTACCGCTGACTGTTGTGTGGGACGCGGGTGGCGCTGCGGGTTAAACCACAGAGCCTAGGACTTGCCGATCAGAAGGTTGGCGGTTCGAATCCCTGTGACAGGGTGAGCTCCCGTTGCTCAGTCCCTGCTCCTGTCAGTTCGAAAGCACGTCAAAGTGCAAGTAGATAAATAGGTACCGCTCCGGTGGGAAGGTAAACGGCGTTTCCGTGCGCTGCTCTGGTTTGCCAGAAACAGCTTAGTCATGCTGGCCACATGACCTGGAAGCTGTACGCTGGCTTCCTCAGCCAATAAAGTGAGATGAGCACTGCAACCCCAGAGTCGGTCATGAATGGACCTAATGGTCAGGGGTCCCTTTACCTTTACCCCCGACTGCTAGGTCCAGTCATGGACGACTCTGGGGTTGCGCGCTCATCTTGCTCTATGGACCAAGGGAGCCGATGTTTGTCCGCAGACAGCTTCCGGGTCATGTGGCCAGCATGACTAAGCCACTTCTGGCGAACCAGAGCAGCGAACGGAAATGCCGTTTAGCTTCCCACCGGAGTGGTACCTATTGATCTACTTGCACTTTGACGTGCTTTCGAACTGCTAGGTGTACAGGAGCTGGGACCGAACAACGGGAGCTCACCCCATTGTGGGGATTTGAACCGCCAACCTTCTGATCAGCAAGCCCCAGGCTCTGTGGTTTAGACCACAGCGTCAACCGTGTCCCTTAGCAGGAAGATTATACATCAATAAACATTCATCCTGGTTTGCCTGTGGGATGTTGACACATCTTCCTATTTATTATTCCACACTTTTCAATGCATTTCCCTGTCACTTTCCTAATCGCAACAAGGTCTGTTTCTTCTTTAAAGTGGATTTGTTGCATTCAGGCAACAGGTTGCTTTAATCCACTTTTATAGTGCAGACCCACTTTTATTGTGCAGTCTTGGGGCAACTCACATTCTTGTTCCTTTCCTTCTCTTGACAAAACGCCATCGTAAAAGGAATCCACCTCCCAGCGTGTCTCCAGCAGCAGGGTTGATTGGGCTTCTTTCATTAAGACATATCCCAATTTACATCTGATTAATTAAAACCTCCCACTTCTGGGAGCTTGCCCTTTGCAGGAGCCCTTTTCTTTATTAACCTTCTTTTGTTCCATTAATTGCAGGTGCAGACAAGGGAAGTGGAGGGGAGAGGAGGGGGAGAGGGAGAAACGGGAAATAGAACTACCAGCAGCAGTAATAAAGGCTTTTCCCCCCCTTCCTTTTTAATAAATACACCACCAGCTCCCACAGACAGTGCGAGAGAAATAATCTGCTTTCAACAGATTAAGGAGCTCTCAGACAACACAGGGAGGATGAGTTGATGGGCAGGTGGTTGTTCTTAGAAAAGACTCCTTCAGAGGTTTGGATTTAGTGTGAAGTGGAGAAGTTGTGTGTGTGTGATGGATTTACTAAGCGCCATGTATGAACAGCACACAACCGGAGCCAGCCAATCCCAAATTAAAGCCACAAATCAAAAACACATTTGCTGCTAGAGATGGCTGTGTGTTTTAGCCAGATTGGATTATTGTAATTATTACTCACTTCTGCAGTGTCATAAATATGGATGACCCTCAAAACATCCGTGACAGGCCCCAAACAGTTGGTGTTCTCAAACAATCCCTTCCCACTTGCTGGAGAAAGGACAGATAAAGGCCGTGGGGCCAGGTTTGTCAGGTAGCCAGCCAATTTACACTCCCCCTTTTAAAAACCTGTTGCCTCACTAGTCCCTTTCTGGGACCCCACATTTAAATTCTTC